GCCGGGAAGCTACCTAGTTGATCGTGCAGCTTCAAACAATACAAGTCTTCACTGGCCTTCGTTACTAGTTACTTTAATTGTTCTAAGAATAGCTGATAACTAGTTCATTATTATATTTAATCAACAACGAGCTCAGAGTCTGAATGTTCTGTGAGAAACAAGATTCATCTTACGTTTGGCAAGGGCGACGGGAATAAGGCATACCCCCGGTTTTAAGGAGCCATAATATAAATGTTATTGTAATTAAATATCCTTCTCACATGATCCAATTCTATGAATGTATAGTAATTATTTAGAGTTCACTTTGACCTCTGGTTTCCAACTAAGGAACCCAGGGTCGTAACAACCACATATGTCAGACCAATCCCGGAGTATGCAGCTCCAACATGGAGTCCATATTTAGTCAAGCATAAGACTAAACTGAAGAAGGTTCAAAGGTTTGCCACCAGACTAGTACCCGAGCTGAGAGGTATGAGCTATGAGGAGAGACTACAGGAATTAAACCTCACGTCGCTGGAAGACAGAAGGGTTAGGGGGACATGATCACCACGTACAAGATTCTCAAAGGAATTAATAGGGTAGATAAGAACATGCTATTTAACACAAGCACACGCACTAGGGGACTCAGGTGGAAATTGAGTGCCCAAATGAGCCACAGAGATATTAGAAAGAACTTTTTTAGTGTCAGAGTGGTTGACAAATGGAATGCATTAGGAAGTGATGTGGTGGAGGCAGCCTTCATATTCAGTTTTAAGTGTCAATATAATAGAGCCCAGTAGGCTCAGGAACCTATACACAGTTGATTGACAGTTGAGAGGCGGGACCAAAGAGCCAGAGATCAACCCCCATAAGCACAAATAGGTGAGTACACACATATCACCCAAATCCTCCCTCTCCTCCTTACCCCGAGTATCCTATACCTTCCCATCCCCTGGTCTTCTTCCTGCCACAAGCAGGCCCAGGCAAGAATTAGGCCCTCCATCCCCCACCCCGCCTCCCCCCAAACCCCTGTTAACTACTCCATAGGAGGGCAGGCCCTCACCTCAATCCCTGCCCCCCAACCCCAAGTACTACTTTTCCCCTCCCCCTCAGGACTTCTGCCTGTCCCAAACAGACTAAGGCAAGACTTAAGCCTTTTGTTTTCCACCTCACCTCCTCCTGAACCACTGGCAACTTCTCTACAGGAGGAGGAGGACCCTACCCAAGTAGAAATGCCCGTGGATCAACTTCCTACACTTATAGGGAGGGAGGGTGAAAATGGATATAGGAAAGTAAGCTTCAAGGTAATGTACTCAAACATCGATTGGATTACCAATAAAGCAAGCGAACTGACGGAAAGGGTGCAGGAAAAAACCCAGATGCAATAGGATTCATGGAAACAAAATTGTCAGGAGTCATAACAGACGCTCTGTTTCCAAAGGACTACTATATAGTAAGGAAAGTTAGGGAAGGGAGAGGAGGTGGAGGAGTGGCCCAGCTGATAAGGAAGGACTGGAGCTTTGATGAGATGGAAATTCCGGGCTGTGACGGTTTCAGAGATTACATAACAGGAACTATGACAATGGGTGGACCGAGGATAATAGTGGCAGTCATTTACAACCTTCCATTGAATGACAGAAGACCCAGACATATGATGTTGTTGATGATGTTGTGTGATAGGAACAGCATGGCAACCAATAATATAATAGAGAGAGCAGCTTCAGTTGCCTGCAGGAATGGCTCCAGAGTCTTAATCATGAACAATTTCAACCATGGAAAGATAGACTGGAAGAATAAGGACCCACATGAATGTGCAGAAACATGGAGAGCTAAACTCTTGGAAGTAGCAACAAAGAACTTTCTGAGCCAGCATGTCAGGGAACCCACTAGAATGAGAGGCAATGGCAAACCAGCTACATTCGAATTGATATTCACCTTGAATAAGTCAGAAATAAGAGAAGTCAAATTTGTAGCCCCCATAGAAATGAGTGACCACAGTATATTGACATTTGAGTATCTGGTGGAGGCGGATATCCTATCCAAGGATGGGATCGGAAGGGAAAAGACTGTATTACTGAAGAGGAAAATATGAAGATGAGGAACTTCCTAAGGGGGAATATCATGGAAAACAGAACTCAGAGAGAAGAATATACAGGATATGATGGACTATGTCATACAGAAATACCAGGAAGCTGCAGATAGATTTATCCCGGTCTAAAAGGAGAAAAGCGAAGAGCAACAGAAGAATCCATGGTTCAACCAGGAATGTTAGGTAGCGAAGCAAGTGAGTAAAAGAAAATGGAGAAAGTACAGGAATAACAGAACACCAGAGAGCAGGGAGAGATACCAGAGGGCAAGAAATAAGTACCTCAGAGTGAGAGAGAGAAGTAGAGAGACAGTATGAAAATGACTACGCGAGTAAAGCTAAGACCCGACCAAAGCGGCTCTACAGCCACATCAGGAGGAAAACAGCGGTGAAGGAACAAGTGATGAAACTGAGAAAAGGGGAGAATAGATACACAGAGAATGACAAGGAGATGTGTGAAGAACTCAACAAAAGATTCCAGGAGGTCTTCACAAAAGAACAAGGAGAAGCCAATGCACTAAATGTGGAGGAGGAGGAAACCAAGCAGCCTTGGAGGATTTTGACCTCAATAGTGATGAGGTCAAAAGGAATCTGTTGGAGCTGAATGTGACAGAGGCTGTTGGGCCTGACAGAATCTCACCGTGGATACTAAAAGAAGGTGCAGAAGTCCTAAGCGTGCCACTCTCTATGGTGTATAACAAGTCACTGGAAACAGGAGACCTACCGGAAAGCTGGAAGAGAGCTAATGTAGTCCCAACATACAAAAAGGGTGACAGGCAAGAGGCACTGAATTACAGGCCAGCTTTCCCAACCTGTTTACCATGCAAGGTGATGGAGAAGATCGTGAGGAAAACGCTCGTAGAACATCAGGAGGGAAATAACTTTGTAATGTACCACCAGCATGGGTTCAGAAATGGTAAATCGTGCCTCACTGGGTTAATAGAATTCTATGACAAAACAACAAAAATTAGGCAAGAAAGAAAAGGGTGGGCAGACTGCATTTTCTTAGACTGTCAGAAAGCTTTTGACACAGTACCCCATAAAAGGCTGTTACGAAAGTTGGAGCAACAGGCAGAAGTAAAATGGAAGGTGCTCCAGTGGATAAGGGAGTATCTAAGCAACAGGAAACAACGAGTAACTGTGAGGGGGGGAAATCTATACTTGGACCCATCCTGTTTCTAATATATGTAAACGATCTTGCAAAGGGTATAGACTCAGTCTTCTTAATGTTTGCTGAGGAAGCAAAAATTATGAAAAGAATCAACACAGATGATGATAGACAGAGACTACAGGAGGACCTGGACAGCCTAGAGAAGTGGTCTAGAAAATGGCTATTAAAGTTCAACTCAGGAAAGTGCAAAGTAATGAAATTAGGTGAAGGGAGCAGAAGGCTGAACACACGGTACCATCAGGGAGGTGAAATCCTACAAGAGTCAAATAGGGAGAAGGATCTGGGGGTTGATATCCCACCGAACCTGTCCTCAGAGGCTCACATCAAAAGGATATCCTCAGCGGCACATGCTAGACTGGCCAACATAAGAAATGGCTTTAGAAACTTATGTTAGGAATCGTTCAGGCCCCTGTATACCACTTATGCCATATATATCCTGGAATATGCAGCTCCAGCCTGGAGTCCATACCTAGTTAAACACAATACAAAGTTAGAGAAGATTCAGCGGTATGCCACCAGACTGGTCCCGGAACTGAGAGGTATGAGCTACGAGGAAAGGCTAGAGGAGCTGAAACTCACGTCCCTGGAAGACGTAATAGTAAGACGGAGACATGATAGTCTACTAAAAATTTCTCAGGGGAATTGTCAGTGTGGACAAAGATAAACTCTATAGCACGGGCGGTACACGAACAAGGGGACACAGGTGGAAGCTGAGTACCCAAATGAGCCACAGAGACATTACCTGGTTGATACCTGGTTGATGGGGTTCTGGGAGTTCTTCTACTCCCCAAGCCCGGCCCGAGGCCAGGCTCGACTTGTGAGAGTTTGGTCCACCAGGCTGTTGCTTGGAGCGGCCCGCAGGCCCACATACCCACCACAGCCCGGCTGGTCCGGCACTCCTTGGAGGAATAAATCTAGTTTCCTCTTGAAAATGTCCACGGTTGTTCCGGCAATATTTCTTATGCTTGCTGGGAGGACGTTGAACAACTGCGGACCTCTGATGTTTATACAGTGTTCTCTGATTGTGCCTATGGCACCTCTGCTCTTCATTTCAATTAGAAATTACATTAGAAAGAACTTTTTCAGTATCAGAGTAGTTAACAAATTGAAGGCATTAGGCAGTGATGTGGCGGAGGCTGACTCCATATACAGTATAATACAATTGTACACATACAATTGTATATATGGCAGAGCCCAGTAGGCTCAGAAACCTGTACATCAGTTGATAGACAGTTGATAGCCGGGACGAAAGAGCCAAAGCTCAACCCCCGCAAGCACAACTAGGTGAGTACAGCAATATGGACAATGTTAGGCTAACACTGATATATAAGCACTGTCATACAAAGAATGCTATAAGCACTGTTAGGGTATCACTGCTATATGCACTGTTAGGGTAACACTGCTATAAGTACTGTTAGGGTAACACCGCTATTAGCACTGTTAGGTAACACTGCTATAAGCACTGTTAGGTAACACTGCTATAAGCACTGTTAGGGTATCACTGCTATAAGCACTGTTAGGGTAACACTGCTATAAGCACTGTTAGGGTAACACTGCTATAAGCACTGTTAGGGTAACACTGCTATAAGCACTGTTAGGGTAACACTGCTATATAAACAAAGGTAAGCAGTGTGAGGTAAACAGTGTTGGGAAAGAGGAACACGTTCAGGAGAGACTCAGCAGTGTTCCAGGAACCCAGAGGTTGCCAGGTCGACCAATGTGTTAAGGAAACGAGTCATAATATTCGTCGTCCTGGACTGGTTAGCTGCGGCTCCGGCTTGACAACACAGCTCCAGTTTTTACGCAGCGAGGACCCAGGAAACTGTGAGAGGTGCCAGCGCTCTCCTTGGGGAACATCTCTCAATACATCCTTAAGCGCCCGGGGAACCCCACACCAGCCACACGTGTCCCGCCAGCAACACCTACTGAACCATTCACCTGCCACAGGTCTTGGTCAGTATCACCTCCTCTCAAGCAGTCGTCAACACCTTCACCTCTCCTGCAGAAGCCACGATGAAGTTCTTGCTGCTCTCAGCTCTGTTGCTGACGGTGAGTGGAGCTTTTTAATACCTTGGTTCCAGTGGGACAAGGTCAGTATTCAATCACAATATGATTTAATAATAATGGTATAATAAGTATTATAATAAGTATAAGTATAATGGAATGTTAAACATTCGAGAAATGCAGTGTTGCATTTCTTGAGAGTTTGCATTTCTTGGACTCCACCATCAGTGGAGTGCAAGAAATGTGTAAGTACTTTATTCACAATAATGAACTGCTGGGAATCTTAGCGAAGTATCCAAAATTTGCTTTCTGTAAGTGCAGCCTTCACATGACTGTAAAGCTGTCGGCCAGTTGGGTGGGTGTGCAGCAAGACTAGTAACTGTGTGACTCACTTTAGATGTAAAGTTCTTTGTATAGTGACTATTGTGGGCCTCTTGTTGAATCACTTGTGATATAAAAACGATTATCGATGTGTATATGTATTAGTGTAAATGACTGAATATACGCGTATATATAACATTAACAATTGTGTAACTAGCTTCAAAAGATTGTCACTTGCTTAGCTAAATGAACTATGGTGTTCAGTTCCTGAACCCATTATGTGCCTCTGTAACCCTTTCCACCACTGCCCACGGGATGGGTATGGGGGTACATAATAATGAAAGAATCAATCAATATAATTTAATATTGTTTGTTGACTTATGCATCCTATGAATCTTTTATTATGCATCCAATACCATCTTGTGGAGATGAGGAGTCATAATAACGTGGCTGAAATATGTAGATGACTTGAGAATGGCTTGAAAATGGTCCAGCACGGACCGAAATGTCGTTCCTTCACTTTCTAGTGTGTGGTTTGGTCAACCCATTCTGCGAGCGGTAGTGAACCCCCATACCCATCCTGCGAGCGGTAGTGAACCCCATACCCATCCTGCGAGCGGTAGTGAACCCCATACCCATCCTGCGAGCGGTAGTGAACCCCATACCCATCCTGCGAGCGGTAGTAAACCCCATATCCATCCTGCGACCGGTAGTGAATCTATACCAATCCTGCGACCGGCAGAGAACCCTATCCCCATCCTGCGAGTGATAGTGAACCCTATACCCATCCTACGAGTGGTAGTGAACCCCATACCCATCCTACGAGCGGTAGTGAATCTACCAATCCTGCGACCGGCAGAGTACCCCATACCCATCCTGCGAGCGGTAGTGAACCCTATACCTATCCTGCGAGCAGTAGAGAACCCCATACCCATCCTGCGTGCAGTAATGAACCCCATACCCATCCTGCGTGCAGTAATGAACCCCATACCCATCCTGCGAGCAGTACTGAATTCCATACCAATCATGTGAGTGGCAGTGGTTTCTAAAACCATATTTTTGAGGGGATCCATACCCATTTCCCTTAAGTGGTTATAGATCCCCTATCCTTTCCCTATAAAGGAAAGGGTTACAGAGAAATATAATGGGTTCAGGAACTGAACACCATAGTTCATTTAGCTAAGCAAGTGGCAATCTTTTGAAGCTAGTTACACAATTGTTAATGTTATATATGTATATGTACATATTAGTATATTTTGGTAGCAGTCTTTTTTGTAAAGATATGTTGTAGAATATGACCGAAAGGGTTAGATTAATGATTCTAAGACGAATCTTCTCAATATTTCTTACGTTTTTCTTCACTGTCAAGGGTAATTGAAAAATTAACTCTCCAAAGTTCATTTTCACATTTTTATTTATGGTATTGAACCATAAATTGCATTGTGAATGGTAATGAACTTTGGAGAGGTAATTTCATAATTACCCTCGACAGTGAAGAAAAACTCTGATAGAAATCTGCAATTATTAATTCATGCAACTATTTACTTAACTAATATTCAATAATTATTCTGACGAATTACCAGCGTCGGAATAATACTAGGGATATATTTATCTTTTAGTATGTAACCTCGCAGATTTATGTGTTAAGGCAGCTCTTTAATTAATTATAACTACAGTTCATTTAATGCTCTCTTAATATTTTATTGAATTAATCTAGATCCTTAGGACACTGATTCCTGGATTATATTTTCAGATTCCTTTATTTATTTTTCCTCTTTTTTGTATAAAAAGAGGTGGTCCTTCGAAGCTATCGTTGTATTCAATTAAAATTGATTATTATTAATATTTAGAGCTAGGCTTTCCCACACCTATCCTGTGTGGCAGTGCATCCAATACTCTTTCTGTGACGACAGATTGAAAGAGTTGAATGGTACAGCAGTCAGCTCTCTGGAGCGAAGGATCAGTGGTACAGCAGTCAACCATTGTGGAGTGATGGTTCATTGGTACATCAGCCAACCATTGTGGAGTGGTGGTTCATTGGTACAGCAGTCAACCATTGTGGAGTGATAGTTCAGTGGTACAGCAGCCAACCATTGTGGAGTGGTGGTTCATTGGTACAGCAGCCAACCATTGTGGAGTGATGGTTCATTGGTACAGCAGTCAACCATTGTGGAGTGGTGGTTCATTGGTACAGCAGCCAACCATTGTAGAGTGGTGGTTCCATTGTGGAGTGATGGTTCAGTGGTACAGCAGCCAACCATTGTGGAGTGGTGGTTCATTGGTACAGCAGCCAACCATTGTGGAGTGATGGTTCATTGGTACAGCAGCCAACCATTGTGGAGTGATGGTTCATTGGTACAGCAGCCAACCATTGTGGAGTGATGGTTCAGTGGTACAGCAGTCAACCATTGTGGAGTGATGGTTCAGTGGTACAGCAGCCAACCATTGTGGAGTGATGGTTCATTGGTACAGCAGCCAACCATTGTGGAGTGATGGTTCATTGGTACAGCAGTCAACCATTGTGGAGTGATGGTTCATTGGTACAGCAGCCAACCATTGTGGAGTGGTGGTTCATTGGTACAGCAGTCAACCATTGTGGAGTGATGGTTCATTGGTACAGCAGTCAACCATTGTGGAGTGCTGGTTCATTGGTACAGCAGTCAACCATTGTGGAGTGCTGGTTCATTGGTACAGCAGCCAACCATTGTGGAGTGGTGGTTCATTGGTACAGCAGCGAACCATTGTGGAGTGGTGGTTCATTGGTACAGCAGTCAACCATTGTGGAGTGGTGGTTCATTGGTACAGTTCAGTACAGCAGCCAACCATTGTGGAGTGATGGTTGGTTCAGTGGTACAGCAGCCAACCATTGTGGAGTGGTGGTTCATTGGTACAGCAGCCAACCATTGTGGAGTGATGGTTCATTGGTACAGCAGTCAACCATTGTGGAGTGATGGTTCAGTGGTACAGCAGCCAACCATTGTGGAGTGGTGGTTCATTGGTACAGCAGCCAACCATTGTGGAGTGATGGTTCATTGGTACAGCAGTCAACCATTGTGGAGTGCTGGTTCATTGGTACAGCAGTCAACCATTGTGGAGTGCTGGTTCAGTGGTACAGCAGCCAACCATTGTGGAGTGATGGTTCAGTGGTACAGCAGTCAACCATTGTGGAGTGATGGTTCATTGGTACAGCAGCCAACTATTGTGGAGTGGTGGTTCAGTGGTACAGCAGTCAACCATTGTGGAGTGATGGTTCAGTCGAACAATACTCAAATTTGTGGTGTGATAGTTCAGTGGTACAGCACTATACCACTGAGAAAGCAAAAGAATATGCAAGAGATTGAGCCAAAGATTGGCCAAGAGATTGATCATCAGACTGAGCAGGAGATTAGGGGAAGTTATCGTGCAAGAGATTGATTACCCGATTGAACAAGAGATTGGATTATGCAAATGAGCAAGAAATTAGTTGAGAGACTGAGCAAGAGATTAAGAAATTTATTGGCAAGTGATTGAGCAAGACACTGGGTATAAAATTTTGCAAGAGACTGAGCCAACAGATTGAGTAATAGAATGAACAAAAGAGTGACAACAAATTGAGCAAGAGGTTGAGCCAGAGATTACGGAAAAGATTATTCAAGAGATTAGGTATGAAAGGGGACAAGCGAGTGAGGGAAAAGATTATGCAAATGACCATGTAAAAGGTTATAGAAAAGATTGTGCAAAAGATTGGACAAGAGATTCAGCAAGAGACTAGGTCAGTGGTTGGACAAGACATTGGGAGAGAGACTGGACTAGAGGTTGGAGAAGACATTGGGTGAGAGACTGGACTAGAGGTTGGACAATACACTGGGCGAGAGACTGGACTAGAGGTTGGACTAGACTTTGGGAGAGAGACTGGGTAAGTATGGCCAGATGGACTTTGAAAACAATTAACAAATGTTAAAGTTATCAAATCATCTGAAATCACTTGCAGTTATACGAGACATATTAATTAATATTAAATGTTTTGTTGTTTTATCAGATTGTTGTTGTGGGAACAACCGCTCACCCTGGGTAAGTACACTGTTTGTATGTTGTTCTTGTTAGTGATCCTTGAGTGTCTGGTTGGTACGTAGTCCTTTTCAATGATCATTGAGTGATTGGTTGGTATGTTGCCCTTGTTAGTGTTCCTTGAGTGTCTGGTTGGTATGTTGCCCTTGTTAGTGATGCTTGAGTGTCTGGTTGGTACGTTGTCCTTGTTAGTGATCCTTGAGTGTCTGGTTGGTACGTTGTCCGTGTTAGTGATCCTTGAGTGTCTGGTTGGTATGTTGCCCTTGTTAGTGATGCTTGAGTGTCTGGTTGGTACGTGGTCCGTGTTAGTGATCCTTGAGTGTCTGGTTGGTACGTGGTCCGTGTTAGTGATCCTTGAGTGTCTGGTTGGTACGTTGTCCTTGTTAGTGATCCTTGAGTGTCTGGTTGGTATGTTGCCCTTGTTAGTGATGCTTGAGTGTCTGGTTGAAACGTGGTCCGTGTTAGTGATCCTTGAGTGTCTGGTTGGTACGTTGTCCTTGTTAGTGATCCTTGAGTGTCTGGTTGGTACGTGGTCCGTGTTAGTGATCCTTGAGTGTCTGGTTGGTACGTGGTCCGTGTTAGTGATCCTTGAGTGTCTGGTTGGTACGTGGTCCGTGTTAGTGATCCTTGAGTGTCTGGTTGGTACGTGGTCCGTGTTAGTGATCCTTGAGTGTCTGGTTGGTACGTTGTCCTTGTTAGTGATCCTTGAGTGTCTGGTTGGTACGTTGTCCTTGTTAGTGATCCTTGAGTGTCTGGTTGGTATGTTGCCCTTGTTAGTGATCCTTGAGTGTCTGGTTGGTACGTGGTCCGTGTTAGTGATCCTTGAGTTTCTGTTTGGTACGTTGTTCTCGTGTACTCACCTACTTGTGCTTGCGGGGGTTAAGCTTTGGCTCTTTGGTCCCGCCTCTCAACCATCAATCAACTGGTGTACATATTCCTGAGCCTACTGGGCTCTATCATATCTACATTTGAAACTGTGTATGGAGTCAGCCTCCACCACATTGTTTCCTAGTGCTTTCCATTTACTAACAACTCTGACACTAAAAAAGTTTTTTCTAATGTCTTTGTGACTCTTTTGGGTACTCAGCTCCCACCTGTGTCCTCTTGTGCATGTACAACCCGTGTTAAATATTTCATCCTTGTACCCTGTCAATTCCATTGAGAATTTTGTATTTGGTGATCATGTCTTTCCGAGTTCTTCTCTCTTTCAGCGACGTGAGGTGCAGTTCACTCAGCCTTTCCTTGTCACTCATGCCTCTTAGTTCTGGGACTAGCCTAGTGGCATACCTCTGAACATTTTCTTGCTTCGTCTTGTGCTTGAAAACGTTCGGGCTCCATGCTGGGGCCGCATACTCCAGGATTTGAGATGCTTATCCTTACATACGTGGTATACAAAGTTCTGAATGATTCCTTACTCAGATTTTCGAAGGAGGTTCTGATGTTAGCCAGCTTCGCATACGCCGCCGATGTTATTCTTTTGATGTGGTCTACAGGAGACAGGCTTGGCGTGATATCAACTCCTAGCTCTTTCTCTCTTTCCATTTCGTGAAGGACTTCATCTCCAATTCGGTATCCAGTGTCTGGCCTCCTATTTCCTCTGCCTAGTTTCATTACCTTACATTTACTTGGGTTGAACGGTAGTAGCCATTTGTTGGACCATTCCTTCAGTTTGTTTAGGTCATCTTGTAGCCTCCTACTATCATCCTGTCTTAATCCTCCTCATAATTTTTTCGTCATCAACAAACATTGAGAAGAACGAGTCTATTCCCTCTGGAAGATCATTTACCTATTTCAGGAACTGTATAGGTCCAAGAACTGATCCCTGAAGGACTCCACTGGTGACCCCACGCCACTCCGAGACCTGATCCCTCACAGTGGCTAGCTGTCTTCTGTTGCTTAGGTTCTCCCCTATCCAGTGGAGTACCTTTCCTTTCATCCTTCCTGCATCTCCAGTTTGTGCACAGGTCTCTTATAGGGTACTCTGTCAAAGGCTTTCTGGCAATCCAAACATATGCAATCTGCCCACCCCTCTCTTTCTTGCCTGATTTTAGTTGTCTGGTAATACAATTCAATCAATCCTGTAAGGCACGATCTGCCATTCCTGAACCCATGCTGATGTTGTTATACAAAGTTCGTCTGCTCTAGATGTTTCATCCGGGTGAGATTCCATCCGGGCCTATAGCTAAGCCTTTGTCACTTCCAACTCTAGCAGATGCTTCCTCATCTTCCCACTGGTAATCATAAACTAATCTAGTGGTGTTTGGTTAGATATTCCCTCTCTTATCTCTAGGACGTCCCCTTGCTCTACTGTGAAAATCTCCTGGAATTCTTATTGAGTTCCTCGCACTCTTTCTTGTCATTTGTAATCAATTTGTCTACCCCTATCCTCAGTTTTATTACCTGTTCATTCACTGATGTTTTTCTACTGATGGGCTGTGCAGCAATTTAAGTTGAGTCTTTGCCTTGTTGCTATGTCATTTTCATATTGTTTTTCTGCCTCTCTTCTCACCTGACGTATTCATTCATGGCGCTCTGGTATCTTTCAATGCTCACTAGTGTCCTATTATTTATACAGTTTCTCCACGCACTTGTACTTAGTTGCTTTGCTAGCTTACACCTCTGATTAAACCATGAGTTTCTTGTCTGCATTTCATTTCTTTGCTTTTGGATTGGGACGACTTGTCTGTTGCCTACTTACACTTTTGTGTGATGTAGTCCATCATGCCTTGGGCCGTCTTTCCTCTAAGATATGTTTCTCAAGTTATATCTGTTAGGAATTATCTCATCTTAGTTGCCCTTTCGGAATGCCATTCTTTTGTTTTCTGGGCCCTTCCTTGGGTACATTAACCCTTCTTCGATCAAATACTCAAACAACATTACACAGTGATCGTTCATTCCCACGGGGGCTTTGAAACCGATTTCCTTATGTCGGAGACATTCAGAGTGAAGACTAGCTCGAGTCTCGCTGGTTCATCGTTGCCTCTCATTCTTGTGGGTCCCCTGACATGCTGACTTAAAACGCTTCTTGTCACCACTTCCAACAGTTTAGCTCTCCATGTTTCCTCATCCCCATGTGGTTCTTTGTTTCCCCAGTCTACCCTTCCATGATTGAAGTCCACCATGACGAGAAAATGGGAGCTATTTCTACAGGCAGCAGTGGATGCTCTCTCAGTTATAGTGTTGACTGCCATGTTGTTTCTGTCATACTCTTGCCTGGGTCTTCTGTCGTTTGGTGGAGGGCTATATATCACTGCTAATACTACTCTTGGTCCTCCCATCTTCATGGTGCCATTAATGTAGTCTCTGAACCGTGTGTGTTACCACTTGAGTGTTTGGTTGGTACTTTGTTCCTGTGTGCGAGCCCCTTGAGGGTCTGGTTCGTACTTTGTCCAATTGTGTTACTCCTTGCGTGTCTGTTTCTTACTTTGTTCTCGTGTGTGAGCCCTTGAGTGTCTGGTCGACCCTTTATCCTTTTGCGTGATCCCTTGAGTGTCTAGTTGGCACTTTGTATTAGTTAGACTTCCCATGAGTGTCTTGTTGGTGGTACTTTGTCCCTTTGTATGACCCCTTGAGTGTTTGGTTGGTAATTTACCCCTGTGAGTGCCAGGTTTGTAGTTTGCTCCCGTGAGTACCTTGATACTTTCCTCCCGTGAGTACCTTGATACTTTCCTCCCGTGAGTACCTTGATACTTTGCTCCCGTGAGTACCTTGATACTTTCCTCCCGTGAGTACCTTGATACTTTGCTCCCGTGAGTACCTTGATACTTTCCTCCCGTGAGTACCTTGATACTTTCCTCCCGTGAGTACCTTGATACTTTGCTCCCGTGATACTTTCCTCCCGTGAGTACCTTGCCTTGTTGGTACCTTGATACTTTCCTCCCATGAGTATGAGCGCCAGATAATGCCTTGTTGGGAATTTACCCCCATGAGCGCCAGGTTTGTACTTTGCCACCATGAGTATTATGTACGCATGAATGCCTGGTTTGGTACTTTCTTCCAGTGAGTGCCGGGTGAGTACTTTGCCCCCCCCCCCATAAGTGCCTGGCTGGTACTTAGTCCCCTTGAGTGCCAGATGAGTACTTTGCCCCCCTGAGTGCCTTGGTTGGTACTTTGTCTCCGTGAGTTTCTAGTTAGTACTTGGTTCCAGCGAGCGTCATGTGAGTACTTTGCCCTCATGTGTGCCTGTTTTGTACTTTGGCCCCGTGAGTGTCTACGTGAGTGTGCTCACCAAAGGAGCGGCTTTGTGATTCGATTAATTATAAAACATGAAACTCTTCTCTCTCCCGCTGGAGGTGGGTAAATGAGGATGGTTCGATGCCATTGTTAATTGTTCATCGTTGTTCACGGGGTGAACTGAAGCTTAAATTGTGGATGATTTTACACTGTAACTATAGCTCAGCTTGTTAGTTTACAATCGTTCTACACGTCCAGGACGGAAACAGTTTCTCTCTGACCCTTGTTCAAACGTTAAGTCCTCTAGCTCTTTTGGTTCTATATCATCTGGGCAGTTAGTACATCCTGGGAGTAAGGGTGAGGTTGGGCTGGTTATAATACATGAATACAACACACCAGTGTGTTTCACCTCTTTATTAAACACTATGTTTTTAGTGTTACAACACACAAGTAATCACACATTAATATTGTGAGCATAATGTTACAACTGGCGGCAGGTGGTGTCCGAGGTTATTGGCACGTTCCAGAGTGCCACACCAGCCGACAGTAACCATCGTGGGTGACTCGCTTCACCACCCCGGGGGCGTCACACACTTGTAGCTCAGATAGTCTCGTTCTAACTATTATTTTAGTAATTTACATAAACTAAACCATAATTAAGTAATTATTAATTCACAAATAATATTTAACTCATTCAGTGACAATCATACATACAGGACGTAGGAGTCAATGGCAAAATGCTGATCCTTAAAACGTTAAATAACATTAGAGTTATCTTCGGTCAACTGAGCAGACAAAATACTTAAGTTTAGGTTTAATTAAACAATTCT